TGATAGAAGTACCCGAGTAACATAGGAGTGACTGTTGTTTTCCTCTAGACCAAGGTTGTTGATCGCGGATCGCGGCGCGTCGCGGCGAGGTACCGCTAAGGCTATTGCGCGCTATTGCGGCGAAAAAGCGGCAAATAGCGCACAGTCAAATAGCGGTCAATATAAATATATGTAAATATTCTAAATAACAAGAAAAATTATATAAAAAATACCATGAAAAATAAATACCATGAAAATGAAAAATTATGTAAATGACCGAGACAAGCTAATTTACTCCATCATATTTGAGAGTTGGCTCTTCATCTTTGTCTTATGCATATGGATCTTCATCAATAGCTCCCCAGCAAGACAGGAGCACAAAATCACCAAGACAAGCTAATTTAATTAAATATAGTACAAACTCCACAATCACCAGAACAATCTAAACCCCTAAGTTTAATATCAAATAACAAAAGTATAATTCCAACAAGACAATTGTATTGTTTAATTAACCAACAACAATTATCAACTAACCAACAATAATTGCAACCTAAAACAAGACTGTTAAGGAAAAAATAAACATAAACCTAATTTTATCTCAAAAGGGACTTTTTTTGACCGGAAGCACAAATCAACAAGAAAGCACAACATTGAAACTTATTAATCTGATTAATCCTAACCTTAGCCATGAAAAAACTAGCTAACTGTCTCAAACGCTGATTTAAAAAAAAATCAAATAACCGATGATAGTTTCAAAACCCTAACCCTAATTAGAGAAAGGATCAGATAAGTCATAACCTGAGTGGAGTGGTCCTAGAGAGATAGGGATGCGATGAGAGGAGGCGGTTAGGGCTTGGATCGGGACTTGGGATACAGAGGCGAGAGCGAGAGAGGGGGGGTTAATATACATTCGGGTCGGTTTCGGGTTCGGGTAGGATTTTTTGCCGAACTAAATAGCGCTGTTTAGCGTTTTTAAGCGCTTTTGAGCGCTAAACAGCGCTTTTAAGCGCTAAACAGCGCTATTTGCGCGCATTAAGACGCTTTTCGAGGGAAAAGCGGTTTTCCCCGCGTAGATGTGCCGCGAGAACCTTAAGCGGAGCGGTTCTCCTCCGCTTCCGCGAATAGCGGCGCTATAGCGCCGCTATTCCCCGCTTTTTACAACAGTGCTCTAGACACTTCTTAAGTTATGAGTTATATTAATACCTCATGATTTATAAAATATTTACATATTTTCTATTTTATTTAATAAGATCAACATGTTTAAACTATTTGGCTCTTAATTGTAACCCTATCTTCAAAGCAAAGTCATGTCATGCTTAGATTATTCCCTAAATCCATGTTTTTAGAAGTTGTTACTGATAAATCATTTTATTTAGGTTAGCATGCCTCGTAACTACATAAGAGATAAGGATTGGATGTACGTGGGTCATGCAGATGCATGCAATCTATTTTTGTTAATGGAGTTAGTGCTTTCATGGACTTTGTACGTAGACACGATATGGTCCGATATAGGAGGCACATTTATGAGAATGCAAAACACTGATCGATGGTGTGGAGACATACGATGCGAAAATGAGGAAAAACTTCACCATGCATGCAGTCTTAATGTGGACAAACAATGATTTCCTGCATATGGAATGCTATATGGTTGGTATGTACATAGTTATATTGCATGTCCTTACTGTCATCTCCAAACAACATCGAGAAGGCTATCCTTTAGCAATAAGACTTGTTATTACGGCTATTGGCGCATGTTGGATGAAAATCATCCGTACAAAGATGACATCATCCACTTTGATGGTACTAAAGAGAATCACCCGCATCCAGACCTATTATCCGAGAGGATATACTTTCTCAGTTAAATGGTAAAAACAACATGACTTTCAAAAAAGTTAAGGGAAGACAAGAAACACCATAGAGATGGAATAAGAAAAGTATCTTCTTCGAACTACCTACTAGAAGACAAATAAAATGCGGCACAATCTAGATGTCATGCACATTGAGAAGGGAGTATATGAGCGCATACTTAACTTACTTCTCTGTAAAGATGGAAAATCAAAAGATAACCTCAAAGCTCGAAGGGATCTCTAGGCGTGGAACATTAGTAAAGAGTTACATCCTATACCGAAGGCAGGCAATCCATACCGGATTGTACTCCCTAATTCAGTGTATCACATGTCACCAGATGAAAAGAAAAAGTTTCTTCAGGTGTTACATGAGTTGAAGGTTCCTACGAGATTTTCAGGATCGTTTAGTAAGAAGATAAAGATTGTTAAAGGCAAGATCGAAGGGTTGAAGAGTCATGATCATCATATTATTATGGAGCATCTTCTTCCACTCTCCCTCACGACTTCCCTCCCTAAATCAGTCGGTTTAGTGATCAATGATCTTTGCAAATTCTTTTGGGAATTGTGCGCTAAAAACATTAAGAATGATAAGTTGAAGAAGCTAGAGGCTGAAATTCCCTTAATTTTGTGCAAGCTTGAGCGGATTTTTCCACCATCATTCTTTGATACCATTATACACCTAACTGTTCATCTTACAATCGAGTATAGGCTTGCCGAACCGGTATAATATCGATGGATGTACCCCCATCGAAAGGCACCTTTAGTTTTTAGATAACGTAATCGATATATTTTTATTTTACAGCTTGTATGTGGTGATTTAGTGTAAGTTTTTGTAGGTACCTTCTCACTCTAAAAAATTATATTCGCAATAGAAATCAACCAGAGGGTTCTATTATGGAAGGTTATCTGCTGGAGGAAGTAACCACTTTTTATTCCCGTTATCTAGATGAAGACATTGAGACAAAACTCAACAGACCTATTGTGATTCATGACAAACCATCTAAAAAGTCGTATTGCAATAGAATGACGCCTGCATTTATCAACATGATTCATCGCTTATCCTTATCAATATTGAATGCCTTGGAGAAGTTAGAGAAAATGTCTATTTTGCATAATTATATATGTTTGTATGACCTAATATACTTCTCACATTAACTACTCATTTTGACATTAGAATACACAATGATGAAATACGTGCAATGCATACTAATTGGAATGAGGCACGTGTTGAAACACATCATCAGGACAATTTTGTAATTGGTTTAAACATTATATAAGATTTCTATTATCTCATTTTTTGACTCATTCTATTAATTTAATCTAACATCTTTATGTAATTATAGTATTAACCCTTTTGTCAGAGCCGATTACTGGGTGTAGAATCAATATTAGATAAGGAACTTAGATATTTAGCTACACTTCCAGATGCTGAAGTTAAATACTATAAATGATTCGGTGTTGGCGTTTACAAGTTTGAAATCTAGTCTATAGAAGAATCTCAAACCATCCAAAATAGTGGAATTGCAACCCTAGGCACTAATGATGAGACATACTATGGGTACCTTGATAACATACTTGGTATCAACTATCCAGGATGAGCAGGATGCATTTATGTCTTCCAGTGTGTTTGGTATGATATGAAGACTAGAGCTGGTAACTGTAGAGACAATTACAGGACTTGGATAGATGAATATGGATTGACGAGTGTAAACACCACACGTCTTTCCTTTGAGGATGATCCATTTATATTTCCAGAATAAGCATTTCAGGTATACTATTCGAAGTGATTGAAGCATTCGGGTTGGAGTGTTGTATGTCGATGGAGGCCTAGGGATACTTACGACGTCCCACAATTTGTAGAATCGGAGGTTGTAGAGATCAATGATGACGAAGAATTTGAGCAAGGCGGAGTTGTATGTCAAGATAGATCTCCTGAATCTGATAAAGTTTTGTAGGTTAGGAATGATTTGAATAGTGAAATACTTGTAGGTATTCCTACAACTTCTAGGAAATCTGTAGAACCTAACACTTCTGTAAAGCGAAAAAGGTAACCATTATAAAAATTCATGTAGTTTAAAATTTATAAGAATTGTAAAATTCTTTCTAGGGCTTGACAAAGATGTTTGGAGTTCCATCACGGAGCAGATCATGTAAACTTATATATGGCGGAGACCTGCATCGTCAGGTGAGAGAGCGTAGGAGAGATCTCGAATCTACTCATGTTGCTATATTTGTACCTAGTATTGAGGAGTTTACTCCAGACAGAGGTAACTATTTAATTTTCTTTTGATTCTGTTTTAACATGACACTTAATTTTTATCTCCTACTTATATCTCTTTATTTTGTATTTTTATTATCACAATTGTGCTACTCTGCTATTTAATAGAATCATTTTACCTTAATTAGCAAATCGGCAAGCGCTTATAGAAGATAATGATTTACAGACGACCCCCCTTCACACTGCTTACCTTTTGGACAATCGTCGGGTTAGTATATTTTTAGTGTGCTAAGTTTTAAATTTAATATGTTGAGGCTATGTATATTCAAAATAATAATTTGACACGCTTAATTAAAAACCCCAGCGCCCACACAGATCTTTACCTATTATTTTCACATCTTTTGCAAAAAGTAAGGGCATAAAGTCATAAAATCGAAAAAATATTGGATATGATATTTTATTTTATTTTGTCGGAAATGCTTTAAAAAATAAGTATGCCTATATGTCTAGCTACTGTAGAAAGAATAAATTTTCAAAATAGCCCCAAATCAAACTTTTTTAAAAAAATCGACCTTCTTTAGTTATTATTACAGAAATCGACTCACTTTCTGGCCACATCAGCATTGTGGCTAGAAAGTGAGTCGATTTTTTTTAAACACGGTCATAATTAGTCGGGTTGGCAACCCCGACTATTTTGAAAGCCGCTGGCAATTTTCCAACTAAATTAGTCGGGTTTGAAACCCCAACTAATTAGTACATATTTAAATTTGTTGGCGTTAGGAACCCCGACCATTTCGAAATGCCTAATTTTAAAATGGTTGGGGTTCCCAACTCCGACCATTTATTCTCAATGTCTGATAATTTATTCCACGTTACACCAAGATCGGCACTTTACATTTACATTCCATTACAAAAGATGAGATAATTCGAAGGGAAAATTTTTAAATTGAAGTTACCTGGAAGTTCCAAAGGGTCCCACTTGTAGACATCAACGTCGTCAATCATCCGGAGCTTGATCCGGCGACCGCAGATCCTGTTCTTAAGATAATAAAGAATCAGCTCCTCATTAGTGGGATGAATCCGAATCCTGGGGGCCACCTGTTTGGGTCTCCTCCGCCATTGAGCACGTGGAGCCCCTTCTCCTCCGGTGCCGCCGTCAGGCTCCGTTCATGGGGCCATCGCACTCGGGCGCTGCACCCATCAATGTCTCTCTCCTTCTGATCTCTTTCTTGCCCTGCGATCAAGATCCGATGTGAGAAATTCGAGAGGAGACGAAAGGGAAAAGGGGGAAAAAGATTTTGGTTCATGCGAAGAATTCGTTATTAGTCTAACCTAAATATTGGCACGCGGAATAAATGGTCGGGGTTGGGAATAAATGATCGCAAACCTTTTAAGAATAAATGGTCGAGGTTCTCAACCCCAACAAATTTAAAGATGTGTTAAATTAGTCAGAGTTTCAAACCCCGACTAATTTAGCTGGAAAATTGCTAGCGGCGATCAAAATAGTCGGGGTTACCAATCCCGACTAATTACGATCGCATTTAAAAAAATTGACCCACTTTCTAGCCATGGTGCTGACGTGGCCAGAAAGTGGGTCGATTTCTGTAATAAAAGCTGAAGGGGATCGATTTTTTTTTTTTAAAGTTTGGTTTTGGGCTATTTTGAAATTTTCTTCACGGTAGAAATCTTCCTCTGAAATTGTAATTTTGATGGCGCAGCTGGCCAGTTCTTCGAGTGAGTGTTTGTGGTAATTTACTACGATATGTTTGTTTAACTCTTATGGGGGGTTATTGGTTGGGACAAATTGGGGCTAAGGGGGAAAGTGTTCCAATGGAATAATATTACTCCTTTGGGATATTTTGAGTGGGGTAAAGTAGGATAAAGTGAGATAATGGAATAATTTCAGCATTTGATTTGACAATTCATATGGGATAATTGATGATATAGCACATTATTAAAATATAATTTTATCTATTAATTACTTCTAAATTAACTTATCCAATTGGTTTAGTATATTCTTTAGTATATTATTATAATATAAATATTATTTTACTTTATATTAAAATATAATATATTATACTATACCTACAAATTACTATTATTAATTATTATATTGTATTGTATTATATTATATTAGCATGCTATACTATATATAATAATTAATATAATATAATATCAATATATTTAATATAATATTTTAATAATATAATATTAAATATAATACATTATTTTATTTATACAAAAATATAATATGTTATACAATAATTACTAATTAACATTATATTAGTATGCTACATTATATAATAATTAATATAATATATGAATAATATATTTAATATAATATTTTAATAATATATTATTTAATTTAATATATTATAATATAGTATCATAGGATATAATGTACTTTATAAAATATTATAATATTTTACTTTATTCAATGTAATATTTTAAAATTTTATATTAAAATTAAAATATAATATAACATATATATATTACATGATAATTACAATAATATATATTAAAAGGTATCATGTTATAGTATAATATATTATATTATTTCAAACTATAGTATTATATTATATTATATCATAATATTTTACTAATATTAGTAATTATTATATTATATTATAATAGTATGTTATATATATAATAACTATAATAATATTTTATAAATTAATTATATAATAATATATTATATAATAGTATATGTTATTAAAATATTATATATAATATTATAATAAATACGTTATACTATAATTACTAATTAATATTATATAATAATATATTACATAATACTATTAATATATGTTATTAAAATATTATATATATGTTATTAAATATTAATATATGTTATTATATATATATATTAATATATGTTATTAAAATTTTAATATATGTTATTAAAATATTATATGATATTATAATAAATATGTTATACTATAATTACTATTATAATATTATTAATATATGTTATTAAAATATTAATATATGTTATATTTTTATATATCATATCATATATTTATAATATAATTTAATTAGCATGTATTAGTTAAGTAATATAAAAATATTTTAAAATTATCTCAATTGTCTTCAAAGTGGAACAACATTGTTCCAATATGGAGGATGGGGTAATTTAGGGTAATTATGAGGAAGGGGTGGAGGGGATCTTTATATAGTTGGTGTAATTTAGGGAAAAGTGGAGTATTTGTCCTCAATTACCCAACAAATCAATAACACCACAAAGTTGACTCCAATTCCAATTACCCAATGAAACCAAAAAGTGATGTTTCAAAAATTATTCCATTATCCCCCAAATTACACAATGAATAACCCCCCCCCCCTTAAGCAATCATTTGGCACACGTTAGCATAGTTCAAACCTCTCCATTTGCTGCAGTTTCAGTTTTCATCCTGTTAATAGGTATCTGTTAATATAGTCTTTCTCTTGGAAGTGATCAGCACAACATATAAATACAGTTTACTGAGGGCTAAATACCATATTGGTATTTTAATTCAACCCCATTTGCCAAGAAGGTTGCATTTTAAAATCCCCCATTTCTAAAATTGGTAAAAAAAATTAGCGAAAAATTAGTGGAGAAATTACCGTATAAATAGAACATTTTTCTCTTGCATCGATTCATGGCCGCGCCGGCGGCAATCTAGTCTGCAGTGATCTTCGTCTTCTCACTCTCTTCTCTCCGAATTCCCATGGCGTTTTCTTCTAGAAGTTCCTGGAATCGGGGGTTTTGGCTGCTTCTGTTAGCGGTAAAGGGAAGATAATTGAGTTGGATCTGAGATCTGGAGTGAATGCGTGGAAGTTTGATCTTTGTTTTGAAATTTTTAGGGTTCAGGTTGGTTCGTTTTGGACTTAAATTGTGATTAAGCCACATCAGCAGCTAAAACCGAGCCACATCAGCAAACCGAGCCACATCATCAGCTAAAACACAGATTAAGTCATCGCATGTCACGTTTACTGAGATTGGACTGCATGTTGGGACCTAAACACCTTTTTCAACCAGAGTAGAGTACGTAGTGGTAGGAGTCGAGAACTTACAACAGGAGATTCAATGAATCAGTTCAAGCAGTTTCCTGTACTATTTGTGGCTACGATCATTGATTATTTTAGATTGCACTTTAGCATGTGGGTTTCCGTATGGAGTATGGACGTCATGTGTTTGTGTTGCTAAGGATTTGGTTTCTTTCTGGTAACAAATTCTCTCTTGTAGAGCAGTTTGGGTCCCAACTTGCAGGTGCAATTTTTGTAATGTCCGGTTGTAAATAGTTGCAAAAGAGAGACTATCTGCAGGTACATAAATAGTTGCATTGTCCGGTTGTAAATAGTTGATGATGAAAATACTTACCAATGGGACACTGTGTGTATCTGCACGTATATGCAGCAGATACACACTGTGTGTATCTGCTGCAGATACAGACTGTGTGTATCTGCAAACTGTATCTGCCCTGCAGATACACACAGTAGATACACACTGTTGTGTATCTGCAGCAGATACACACACTGCTGTGTATCTGCTGCAGATACACAGCAGACACACACACTGTTGTGTATCTGTAGCAGATATACACATGTATCTGTTGCAGATACATAGCAGCTATATGTGTGTATCTGCTACAGATACACAGCAGATACATATGTGTATCTGCTGCAGATACACAGCAGCTACATGGGTGTATCTTGAATTTTCCTTGGATATGATGGCCAAAAAGTTCATTTATTATGATATTCAAGGTATTCATTTCACTATCAACTATCATGGTCCATCACTTTTCATCTTAAGCTTTCCATCACCGTGGTATCCTGCATGATCAATCATATGAAAGAATAATATCTATATATCATGTTTAACTTGTGAGTAAGGTCTAATTTATGTTCAATTTAATTAATATATCTGCTATCATCATGAAATATTTGTACTTACATAAAACATTTTTATTGTATAGTTGCATCTACATCTGCACCGGCATGTGTTCCAAAACACTCTTTTAATATTTGTCTTAATCGTGCTCTTAGACGTGCGAAGTGACAGGGCGATGAAGATAGCAATTTGTATATATATCATTTTAATTTATATTATTTATTATTCTTTATATTATCTAATATCTTATCTAGCCCAAATGGGTTTTTTTGTCCAAATGGTTGTGATCGTTTGGGACTGCACTTGCCCAAAGGGTTTCAATCGTTTGGACTGTCCTGTTTTGACTAGCTAGTGAAAGAGTTTAAATGGGTTGACTCTAATTGAGGGTGGGGAGTGCATAACTTTTCCCTAAAAAATATGCTCTCTCTCTCTCTCTCTCTCTCTCTCTCTCTCTCTCTCTCTCTCTCTCTCTCTCTCTCTCTCTCTCTCTCTCTCTCTCGGGTTCCAATCGTTTGGACTGTCCTATTTTGACTAGTGAAAGAGTTTAAATGGGCTTGACTCTAATTGAGGGTGGGGAGTGCATAACTTTTCCCTAAAAAATGCTCTCTCACTCTCTCTCTCTCTCTCTCTCTCTCTCTCTCTCTCTCTCTCTAGGTGGCACTTATAAATAGAATTTATTACATGACCCAAAATCAAATGGGCTAGATCACATGAAAGCTGTAATTTTAGGGCCTAGATATAATTTTTCCTAATTTAAGAGTTGGTCATTTTTTTTAACGCGTGATTCTTTGCAACTAGAGCAGTTGTAGACAAAACTCCAGAATCGCTCAGCGATCAAATCAGAACTGTATGCGTGACCCATTGTTGTTGTAATTATAAATGACCGGAACAAAGCACAATGTGTGCGAACTGTCGAGGCGTGTAATCACTGTCCTTAAGAAAAGATTTTTCCCCTCCTCAGTGCAAAAGGCTACAGTGGTGTCCTTCCTCACAAGATTCAACGGTAGATAACAGGTTAAGATGCACTCCAATAACCTGTTCTACAAAGAACAGTAAAAATCTCTCTCTGATAGGAAGGAATATAAAACACAAAAAAATTCTTCACAATTTTTCTTCACAAGTTTTCTTCTTTTCTCTCTCTTATTTTCTCTTCACTTCTTTCTCTCTTATTTTCTCTTCACCTCTTTCTCCCTTATTTTCTCTTCATATTTGTTCTCCTTCCTCAATATCTATTTTATAGCCAAAAAGTTTCTTATAGTGGAATAACCATTATAATTCCTTTTTCTTATTTTCATATAATGGAACAACCATTATAATTCTTTATTCTTCTTTTCTTATAATGGAACAACCATTATAATTTTTTTTCTTCTTTTCTTATAATGGAACAACCATTATAATTCTTTTCTTATAATGGAATAACCATTATAATTCTTTTCTTATAACGGAACAACCATTATAATTCTTTTTATTTATTTTCTTATAGTGGAGCAACCATGATAATTCTTTTTATTTAT